TGTTAATATTGACACATATCACAATCTAAATTAATAATTGCATGTATCGTAATTTGATGAGTTATAATGTTGGTTATGTGACGTTTTTCATCGTGTGCATCCTTTTTTATATAATAAGATAGATTTATTTTGTTCAAAAAAATTAAAGTAATTTTGTATGTTTTGTATAACTAGTTTCTTTATTTTATTTTTAAATAATACTTTAAATAAGCATTTGACATTATATTAGTAATTTTGTTGCATAAAAAAAAATATTTTTATATATAATCAACCTCATTTACATATAGATATTTTTTTAAAATATAGATTGTGTTAATTTAAACATTTTGTGTTATTTGGTTTATCATAAAATAAAGATTGAGCCAAACCAAAAATTTGGTTTGTAACCCCTAACCTAAAGTTACTGGGATTAACCCATCACCAACACCTGGCCCATGATCCTAACCTAAGTTAAGGGAAATCCTAGCAGCACAGGACCGCCACGAATGGACATAAGCGCTGCTACAGGCGGACGACACACAAACCGCCGTTAAAGTAGGAGAAGAGAGCGGGGAGTCAGTCTTCATAAGCTTTGCATCCAACATAGGCAGAGATAAACCCTTGAAGTACTCTCCAACAAACTCTTGACCTCCTCATGCCGAGAGAGATCCATTGTTTGGAAGACGTCCAACTCCCAGGCCTAAATCGAGATCTTCTCTCGTAGCAAATGAAGCATGACTGACATCGAACCCCTCCAACAGAGATGAGACACGGAGACAAAGAAAGAGCAAGCCACAGCACAAGTAGCGGGGAGGAAGAAGCATCACCCATCAGGACAAAAACAGTATAAATAGGGGAAAAAACCGCCACGACGTAGATCTCACCGAAAAAAGTAACCTCTTTTATATATCTCCCACCCTTAGGAGATCTATATCTAAGGTAAGGCGTCTATCAAATCTACACAATAGGGCCACTTATCGCAGAACCAAACCGGAGTCAACATCGCCACCACCGTACAAAGAACCAGGCCGAGCCACCAAGAACACTAAAGGGGATAGACAACCGCGATAGCCCCTCGAAGAGAAGAAAACCAATTGGATCTCGCCAAAAAAATCCAGATCGCTCTTCCACAGGATTCACCACAGCCCCACTACCGGAATGCATGAAGTTGCCGATAACCACCAAGATGAAGTATCGTTGGCCCCAAAAAATAAAAGAGGAGGAGCTTTTCGCAACGCTGGCGGAGCCGGTCGCCAGAGAGGCAGATCGAGATTGAGTGGTGGTTTGGCTAGGGCGAACTGCTTTAAAGTAGAAAAGATAGTTCTCTTTCTTTCAATTTTTTTTTTATAAACAAGGTGAAATAAAAAAAAACCATATTTTCTATATACAGTGTTACTAGATTTTTGACCCGCGTCAAACGCGGA